TCACACCCACAAGTCTCATCCTGGTCCTGGTCCATTCACACCCACAAGTCTCATCCTGGTCCTGGTCAATGCAGTCAGGTTTTGTGGCAACATCCAGACCGAGCCCGAAGACCAAAGCCAGATCGTGCCTGCTGAAGAACCGGAAGAGACACGGCCCGCATGGACCTCGGAACCCACTGATCTGCAGGGATTGATGGACAATTACATCCTGGAGCAAAAGTGCCCTGGGAGAGTACCGGGGACAACATTGATGCTTGTCCATGCAAAGATGAGGGATGGCACCGCCACAGAGATTGTCGAAGGGCAAACGCACAAGCTTTTCTTGGTAGCCAACACTGTGTTCAACACAACTTTGGGGTTTGGGTGTGGGTTATCGAAATAAAGCCAACATCGGGCGCACCCAGCATGAGTTCCATTCTTGGTATCTCAGGTATGTCACCAAGAGATCAAACTTTCCCTCACCGAGTTCGAAATTGGCCATGGGAAGTCAACATTCCTCAAGGATGAGAAGCTGGCAAAACTTCAACGTGAAGGTGTTGGCTCTGGCCCAGGCACGACCCAATCAATCAATGTTCAATACAGCTGGCATGAACCAGTTTCGGGGTTTTGCAAGTACCACGTTGCTCTTCATAGTACTCTTAAATACTTATTGTTTGAAAGCATTGGACTACTTCACCTAAACCACTCGCAATCTGAAAGGTGTCAAGCCACTGGTAGTTTTCATAGACTAGTCAGACTATAGTCGCTTTCATTTTGGCCAATGGATTCGCTTGCTTCTATCTTGGCGCAGCACGGTTTGCAGCAGGACCAGCTGGAGGGTGTGCAGGGTTCTTCGTGTTTCAAACAGATTGAAGGAATTCTTTGTGCGTCAGAGACTATGGGCAACCTTCAGCCACCTTTGCTAGCCCATAAAATTAAAGTTGACCTACTTGCCCTGCCAACTTGTTGAAACTGTATTGGCTGCAAGTACTCCAACCATTGCCCACCAGCTTCAACTCCAACCTTACCACCAGGACCTGACTATGATGTACGAGACGTCTCCAGGGGCTTTGCAGACTCCAACTCCCAGAGTTGCTCGAAGCGAAGGTAGCATAACTTTGCCAGATTGTATCAAATCATATGTTATAGTCTCAGGAAATCGCCAATCGCCCGACAAAACTCAACAGAAACATAGAGTGTGTACCATGACCATGGGTCTTTGCACGCTTCAGGCTACTGCCAGCCCGCTTGATCCTGGATCCCAAGCATTGGGCTCTGCCGCCAAAAAGACTGGCACCCCTACGAACACACGAACAAGGAAGCCGATGGATCCAAGCCAAGTATCTGAGATGCAAAGCGCTGTGAAGGTAGCCTTGGATGAAGCTGGCAAGAAGAGCAAAACGAACAGGCTGAAGCAAGCTGCAGAAATCCAAAAGAGACCTGAGGGGGAGCAGGTTCCCAAGGCAAAGTCTGCTGTTCAGAGGGCACTTGAACTCCAGGCGTCTGATGCGGAAGCCAAGAAGAAAGCTGGCAAGGCTAGGCTTCTTAGTATGATAGTGGCACAACAAACTAGACACTCTACAACTATGGTGAAAACAAACAAATGACTCTTTGTTTATGTTTCTCATCACCACAAGGTTATGTTACATGTGGGTTAGTAAGTTAGTGTGCACGGCCTTCTCAACTTGACCCAACTCTTGAGCACCAGGCTACTGCAAAGAAGGAACCCAAGAAGAAAGCTGCCGCCAAGAAAAAAGCTGCTGCGAAGAAGCCAGCCAGGAAGCCAGCCAAGGCTGGCAGCACCTGAGGGTTGGTCACAAAATCATTTGGGGATACGTGCTGCTCGAGTTCCACCTACAATTCTAATACCAAAGTTGAGCTCCTGCAACTACAAAGGTTTCGATCTGAAACTTCCAGAAGTTATGAGCTCCACATCATACACATTGATTTTTTACTCTGACTCTCAATTGCTAGCGACTGTATGTAGGGGGCTGGTGGAGGATTGCTATTAGAGGGTCATTAGTCATTAGTGTGTCTTATCTAGACCACCTGGGATGGAACAACTGGTTGACACATGAGGCTGAAGCTGAGGAGGCTGAAGCTGAGGAGGATGTGTTGGATTCGGAGGAGGATCTGAGTGAAGAATACCTGGAGGAAGAGGAGGAGGAGGAGGTCAACAGCGTTGACGCTGAGACTCTCCGCCTTGGACAGTCGCCGAAGCAGAAGAAATTAAAGAACAGTGAACCAAAGAAGCGTGAACCAAAGAAGCGTGAACCAAAGAAGGGGAAGGAAAGCCAGAAAAAAGATGATGATGATGAAGTTGCCAGGGCTTCTCAAAGAGATGGCGATGAGATGGGAGGGGTGGCTGGGGCACAGAGTATGAGGGCGCTTTATTGGGAAGTTGTGCACGAAGCCCAGAAGCGGATCAAACGAGAGAATCCGGACATGCCTGCCAAAGAAGTCTTGAAGCTGGCACGTGCAGAGTGGCTCGCTTCCATTTCAAAAAATACGTTGCAGTTGAAAAAATTACCCCTGGGCACTATAATATAGTTTGACGTTGCAAGACTACTAGATATAATTACTACTAGTATGAGATAGTAAGAAAGATCTAGCAAGTATATTGCAAATCAACTCGCGAATGATTCAGGTGGGAGGAGCACCCTCAGCGTATGAGCGCTTTGCGCAACATGTCCAATAGTGAGCTCTCTCGTCGCAGAATGACTAGCAGCTGCCAGAAGAAGGTTTCAGAGCCAAAGCGCCGCAGGAAAACTGCGGCAGGGATGGATGCTTAGTAGATGGATGCTTAGTAGATGGATGCTTGACCAGCTCATAGTGTCTACGACTCTTTTGGTCATCGTAAGTTGTATCAACACTTGTGTGAAAACTACCCCTGTTCCAAAGACTTGCTTTTGGTTGCTGTTGCACAGCTGGTCATTGTGCAATCATCGCTTCCAGTTTCCAGATTGCTTCTGGATCATTTTGTGGGGACATGCTGCTGGCTTACCAGCAGCCATCTAGAGAGACACAACGGTGTCCAAGAGCCAGGGAAAATAGGATACTCCCTAGACTAGTATATTCTAGTCTAGTCCTTTGGGAAATGCATCAATGATCAACAATGTGTTTGCCTTGGTAAAGCGTTTGTGGCTAAAGTGTCTATAGTAAAAGTCTATGTCACTTTGGTCAGGCAGTGCGCTCGCATTTACAATTCCTTGTCGCTGGACTTCAGACCAAGCCAAAGTCGTCTTGGAGATTCCTTCAGAGAGCTCAAAGTCTTCGACAGACGCTGAGCCTTGCACCTTGCGCAGCCTCATGATTGAGCTCGAGGAGGAAGGACATGTTGACATGGGCCTGCACAAGCACAAGTGCGATCGTCCACCAGCAGCTGGCGATGAAGGAAGGGAAGTTGAAATGATCTTGATTAAACAAGGTTAAAGGATGTCAAAGGTGTCTAATTGTTCTTGGATGGGGCAAAGGGGTGGTGTATCCATGGTAATTACATGTCAAGCATGTGGCGTCCTGAGAATTCGACTACTTCATCATCAAGCCTGAGCCGATCTACCCCGCGTTCGCCTACACCCCATCCCTCGCCGGCCTCAAGTTCACAACCATTGCAGGAGCATTTTCGAATGAGGCAGGTCTGGATAGCACATGGAAGTCATATACTGCATTGAACTGGGGTGGCTTGCTGAACTGAATGAGTTTTAGGCCCAAAGATGTCCAAAGTGCAATGTGCTTCTTCCACAGGCCCTTGAAGCATCACGAACTTTAGCACGATACTGGAGGGTCTTGGTCAAGAAGGCTGAAAAGGACTTCGAACCTACAGTCTTCATGTTGCTGTCTTTTTTGTAATATACGATATAAGTCTGGAAGTTAATCCAATTGCTATATATTTTGGTGGTGCCAGGAGGTGGTTCCTCGCACCTGGGCAAGAGATCAAAAGGAACTTGAAATCAAAACCTTGGAAACAGAGTTTAGATAATCGAGATGTCAATGTGCATTGATTATCTCAGGCAAACCATTATATTTTCATCGCGAAGCTCGCACAATGAGGGCAGATGAAGTATTGAGATTGGTGTAGAGCTGATTTGAGTTTTGGACGTGAACATGTGTTCCAAGACAAGATGGAACAAGACCTGTGAGCCCAGGGAGTGGCCGAGAAAAGAGCGAGTGAATCTTCTGGACATGGCCAGTGAACAGGAGGTGATCCCCTTTTCGTTTTATTTGATGGGCCCCCAGTACAATTAATATTCAACTAGCTGATGGATCAAATAAAACGAAAAGGGGATCAAATACAACGAAACCTACTTAATATATATATACCTTGAGTCTCCAATGACCCTTTTAAATTTGCCTTTCCAAGAAAAAGAGGTTTTTGAAAGAAAGCACTCTTTTTTGCATATGTCACGAAATGTTACTTTTTTGTTTGTGCCCTTCAGATCCTCCTTAGACAGTGTCCTGAGACTCTCTGAGACCTTTTTTCGGCGTCCAAAACGCGTCTTTTTGCGTCCAAAAGGCGTCTTTAAGCGTCCGTGCCGGACGCGTCCGGATGAAGATTCACTCTGCACCTTTTTTTGAGTCCTCATCTCTAAAAACGCGTTTTTCGAGCAAAAACGCAAAAATATTAGACAAAAAACAAAAACGCAGAAAAAAAAGGTCTTTGGAGACTCAAGGTATATGTGTGTTCAGTACTTATTCAAAGAGCTCGCATGCAACCCTGGCATCATTTTAATGGCGTGCTCTGTGAGTTGGCTTCGACCAGCCTTATAAGAGGTATAGGCCAGGGCGTCCGAAGCGATTTGTGCATTGGGTCTACCAAACAAGTCGGCCGCCCTCACTGATGGGCGACCGCTTCCTCGGTGCTGACATGGGTCCAATTCCCACCACCAGTTCCCACCTCCCACCCGATACACTGAGCGAAGATAAGTATTTCAAGATCCATATAATCTGTGTTGGAGTCCAGAACCTCCTAAGTCCATGACCCACAGACACATGCTGTCCACGCGACCGCGGGCGTGGTCGAGGAAAAAGCCTACTGTGCTTGCTTCAAAAGTTCTGGACGTCGAGGTGACCTTTCAACAGGACAGACAAGAGCGATGACGTCGCACGTGGCCGAGCAGATGACGCGTGGCCGGCCGCCAGCTAGTTCGCCCTTCTCTGGCGATAGGTGTATATATTCCCCTGCAGACCATCCCAATGGACATCCATGGACCTTGAAAAGACATTATTTTTTTGCAATCCCATGAGCCCCCAGGAATTCCCCAGACCTCGGGGACGGGAAGTACCTCTCCTCCACATGTTTTTTTTCAAATTCGATGAGACCGTCAGACACCCATGTGACCCGGCGCCGAGGGGTCTTTCTGTGTGGTTTCAGTGCTGCGAACCACGGTCGATCAGGAGACATTGAAGAAGGCCCTGGCGCCGCACCAGCGGGTGGCCGTGTTGGGAAACAGCCACAGTGCTGCCGTGTCGCTGGCGAAGCTCGGTGCTCCTTGGCGCCTGCATTAGAGGGATTGGATGTGAGATCTAAGATTGTCGTGAACCCAAATACTTTTGACTTCTCGTGTCACAATGGGTCTTTTTTGCCAAAGGTTGAGTTGAATGCTTCTTCCTTTACCTTCCTTTCAACCTTTCCATTCTCGCTCCATCTCCTGTTTCTAGGGCCGAAAGTGATGGTGACTCCTGTGGGTCTGCCTTATCGGAGGCCTCACAACGTCTCACCCAGCGCCCCCCCTTCCCGTCTCCACCGTGCTGTCTAGGACTTGGCCGTGCCCCTGTCTCTGCGCGTGGGCTGCTTCGGCCGGCGACCCCTACGCTGTGCCGAGTGGCTCCCGCAGCATGACATGTACCGCTACACCTCCACTGGTCGGGACGCCCAGCGTTCCGAGCTTCGGCCGACCCCGTAGGACCCGAAGGAACGGAGGTTGTCGGATCGGCTGAAGACGATCAGCCCGTCTATACCAGCACCGACTTCACAGGTCACCAATTGAAACCTGTTAGGGCCTTTCCCAACCCTCCAAAGGAGACCTGTTGAAAGGTGCTGGTAGGTGTCCAATGTTCTGATCCATCCACCATCTTTTTCTGGAGCCCGTCTTGTCAAAACCGAACGATGCTGCCGATCTGAAAGCAACTCTCCACTTAGGCGGAACAGGGGAGCCTTCCTTCCCTCCCCCCTCCTCCCTCTCCTCCCTCTCCTGCCCTGGGAGAAAAAAAATGGCGCCAGGCTTGAAAGGCTTTGGCGCCGTCTTCGGCCGAGAATGCATGGCCAAGGGCACTGAATGGCTGGAGATCAAAGATATGAAGGACCCGTGTCAGCGTTGAGAACAGCGTCAGTGAGAGAACTCCGGCTGATTGAGGCTGGAGGCTGGTGTGTACTCCTTTGTTGGCCTCGTTGTTTCCGGGCCGTACTTAGAGGTGTATGTACAATTGCTGACTGGTGATGTCGGTCTAGCAATATATGTGCATGTGGAATGGTTCAGTGGTCTTCTGTCAGCAGGAATATAGTTGTTACATGTTGTTGTTATGAAGTCTTTTTGGGTCAAATTTCATATTCAACCAGTGGACTTGTTTCGGGCACTCCGCACAGATGCCGCGAGACGCCGCGTATAACTCTTGCACTTCTGGAAGAGCTGCGTCGTGTCAGATGTTTAATATCCAAACCGACATGACGCCTGAAGCAGTTGATAGCAGTTGCATTGTTTTTCAGAACAAGTGGCTTAGCATCCCTCCAACACACATGCAAGTGGAACATGGCCCCGAAAGGAAGACTGTTTTTGCTTGATTGCTTCCAGGGAGCGTTTTCATCTCCTCCTGCTTCCAATGTGGGACCCTGTTCGAGCGGGACTAGGACTTGAGACTAAGGGACGAGCGAATGTTCCTTTGGAGAAGGAGCGAACGAGCAAATTCAAGTGTTCCGAGTGCCAGATGTACTTTCATGAACAATCCCCGTACTGAAGACGGAGCTTATGGCATATGGTAAAGCTGTTTTTTCAAATTTGCACAATCTTGAGCAAGTTTTCAGCCACCTCACAGGTTTCTACAATAAGAGGTACTGTAACCTCATCTCCCAGTAAAAGAGTAAAAGGAAGCCTTGGACGGTGCTTTGGAGGTGGCTTGGACTGTACTCTTCCAGGTCAACCAGACACGTTCCAGTACATTCTCGTCAGGACTTTGATGAGAATCAGTGGGATTGGGTGGTGGACTGTACCGGGTATCAGCAAAGTGTGGGCCTCAGACCGGTTCCAACATCCAGAACTCCACGAACTCTCACGGTTTGACATGAAAGCGTTCAGGTGCAGTGAAGATCAGTGAATTGCTTTGTCAAAGGCCCCACTGCATGGAAGCATATCATATATAGAAGTATAACGGAAGCACCTTTAAATCCTTTTAATTCGAGCAACACAAGTATCATGGCGATTGACCAACCTTGATGCGTGTGCTGTTGCAGGGGTGAATCCAAGGTTTAAATTGACCAGAGATGTCCAAGCAACACACAACTTGAGTCACTTGATGTTCTCCAAAATCAGACTTTGCTCCCAACCTCCTTCCCCTGCACCGGGACATCATGATGACCCAAAGGCCCAAATGCCCACGAAGGGTCGGCTGAGGTCCTTTGCCGGCCATATCCGGGGTAGAGGAAGCGAAGCTGCTCCGAGATGAAGCGGCCCGGCTCTCTCACGTGGCGCGGCCCGGGACGTGGCTCGGAGCGTCGGATGGGTATCAAGAGTATATAGCCCTGTAGCCGATCAGTAGCCTGGTAGGAGGCATGTATCGGACGCTTGCGCCCATGTGGCCAGAGGTCCTTTGCAGGGGGTGGCAGCCAGATTGAATGGCCAAACAGCAGAGGCAGCAGAAACTGGACTCGCGAAGCTGGTTAGCTTGGACTTGCATGGTCACCAGCATTACTTGTGAGGCATGGAAATACCAGGTAATTCTCAAGTAGACAAGAAGGAGTGGTGATAGAATACAAAGATGGGAAGATGTTGAGCATCATCGTTCCAGTTCCAAGCACGGTTGGTTTGTCCGCGATTCTATCTCTTTGGGGGGCTGACATGGATCTTTTTTGGGGGGGGCCAGCCGAGGTTTGCTGATGAGGGTTCTTTTTGTAACCGCCAACATGAGCAGTTTGATGGGTTTTTCCTCAGCGTTTGAAGCGTTCCGAAGCCTTATTGTTATCGCACGGGAACGCTGCCAATTCGAGCCGAAACGAGCTTCGAGAACGCTGCACGAGCCTCCAAAACGCTCGAATGACGCGTCCGAGCTACGCTGGACAACCTCGCGCGTGCTACGCGACGCGACTATTCGCTCACACGCACGAGGCCACGGGGCGCTTGGGAGACTTCCAGCAGCTGTATGCGGTGGGTGTGCCCTGGGGTGAGCCCCCCGGGCGCTTTTGGGGTCATTTGGAAGAAAAGGAGATTCAAAGGAAGGGAGATGAAAGGAGAGGTCGGAGTGAAATGGAAGCAGTATAGTAGTATAGGGGGGATGAGGAAGGGATGGATTTGTTTGTGTTGATTTGGGTTTTGCAGTTCTGTTTGTGACCTCAAACCAAGGGATCAAGGACGGTCACTGGGAAGATCCAGGTATGGATTCACTGCTTTCCACCACATCACTTGCAGCCAAGGTAAGGGCTTCCAAGACGTCGAAGGCTTCAAAGGCTCGAGAGGAAGGGAAAACTGGGTCTCCAGCAGGTGATGTATGACGAAAAGGCCCCGCTAGGTTATGACAATGGGCGGAAAAGCTGTTAGACATCCCAACTTGAGGCAGATGAAGAACGAAGATGTCAAGTGGACCCAATGCAACCACAAGTTGTATTGTGTTTTCTTCCTGTCAAGAACGTTGGAAGTTTAAGGGCCTTCCTTTCAAACATCGGATTCGTGATATAATTTGAAAGGCTTTGAGGTAGGCACAACTCACACATTTATGACATAACGTGGTAATAGATGATATAGACACGTCCAACTCCACCAGCTGTGCCTAAATTCAGCCAAATCACCGTCCGCCACTAAAGCAGGGTTCAGCTTTCAGCTTCAGACCTTCCAAGCTTTGGGGGGCCCGATCGGCACTGCCCCTCCCGACGTCCCACCAACCCGTCCCCAGCCGAAAACGTCCGACCACCCCGAGGTACCGCTCGGGGCATGGCTCGGGGGTCTTCCATCGCGAAGCACTCGACCGGCGCGGGTGGCACGTGACGCGCAGGTGAGACCACCTTCGTAGGCTTCTCCCTCTTCCTGGACCGGGCCATCCTCATTGCCGACGAGATTGACCGAAGCTTTAGCACGAGCAGTGCAGAGAAAGCGAAGAGCGCCTAAAGTGCTGCGCACAGTCGCTATAGGAAATAGAGTGTCCTGCCAGTGAACATGAATGTATCTGGCGTCCAGAAGTGAAAAAGTGAAACGTCCAGAGTGGCGTGCATCCACATGGCGGGAGAAGCGAAAAGCTATGAATCATTGGCGAACGAGGCTACAGCTATGATGGTGATCTAGACTGCTGTGCTTCGTGCCAAAAGCCTACCATGTGTGTCATTGGCGTTGGGTGACTGCATATATTAGAGTCCGTCCTACCAAACAAGAGACAATACAAATCAATACAACCTTTCCTAACAGAGAGAATACAAAAATCTATCCCCAGGGCTCCTGGCCTACTTCCTGAGAAGATGGTTGGGGTGGGTGCCACGGGGGTCTAACCACCGAACCTGAGGATATGGGACAGGAGCCCTAGGTTATTAAGATGAAGACAGTGGAGCGCACCGGACGACAATGTGGCCAGAAGTAGCTGCTTAGGTGACTTAAAGCTTCATCGATTTCAGTACTTCATGCGGCCGAGACACTGGGTGGTGGGAGGTTTATGGTTCTTGGGGTCACTCAAGTCAGATGCTCACCGACTGAACTGGTCACATGCACGATCCTACCGCTTCCAATCCAGTTTGTATAACTGGGAGACCTCTCAGTTCAACCACGAAGCCAACAAAAATAGTGACGGTCACCCAGGGGCCAGGCCAAAAGGTCTTCCTGTAGAAAGTACCACGTACGCCACCGCCACCTGTTCTTCTTTTGCCAAAACTCTCGAGTTTTCATCGCTTCGAGGGCTTCCAGTTGGGAAGCCCTTCGATGCGAACTTGTTGGGCCCTCTCAAAGTGAGAGTGCAAGTGCGACAAGAACAAAGCTCGCAACTGGAAAAAGGACATCGCAGAGTTGGCTGTTTGCGCGTGCGATTTGGGCCACTTGTCTCACTTGGCGCGTGGAGCGAAAGGACCTCAGGAAGTCATTGGTGTGTCCGAGTTCTCCATGTGCTGCTCGGTATGAACATATCCCGTCGATTTTGCAATTCGACATGCCAGGAAGTCCCAAGAGCTTTCCCAGAAGCCCAGCGAGTGCAAGATTGTCACGCGGCTGATGGGATGTATTTTTTTCCCGAATGCGTAGCGAAGGGTTCCCGTTTATAGTTGGGGGTCTGGGGGTTGGAGCTGTGTTCGCGTGGCTTGCGTCGTGTCGTCGTCTCTCGTCGTCTCTCGTCGTCTCTCGTCGTCGTCGCGTCTCAAATTTGCTGCCATTGGGGGAAGCTTTTGCAAGTGACTTTGCATGGATGTGTCACGTGTCAGTTTGCGCCGCTAATCCATTGTGATTTGCGTGACACGGACATGTCGCGCAAGAAACGTGATGCATTTCGCTGCACAGGCGCAGCGTTTTGTGAGATCCGCAGTTTGCTGCGCAGTGCCATTGGGATTAGCGTTTGGAGAGTCGTGTTTTTGGGGTGTTGGATGTGGCCGTGCCATTGGGATTTGCGTTTCAGGGTGTGGCATCGAAGCTCGGTTTTCGTGACAAGTCTCAGCTGAAATGGCGATTTTGGTGGATGGGAGTGTGCTCTGAACGGGTCGAAATCATTCCAAACGTGTGGTGTGGTGCAAATTTTGTTGAAGCTCACATGCGATGATATTGTCACTTTTCGTGGCAGGCGCAGGACTTCGTGCGGGCTTTGAGGCGTGGAAGTGCGATTCTCGTGGCAGGCGCAGGGAATCGTGAGGTTGCGAGGTGTGAGGGAGGTGACATTTCGTGGCAGGCGCAGTACTTTGTGCGCGTTAGACGTGTGGATGGGGAAAGACTCGTGGCAGGCGCAGGGAATCGTGAGGTTGTGAGTTGTGGTAGAGGTGAATGTCGCTGTCACATTGGGATTGGCGTGTGAGCGGATGTTGTTTGGTCGCGAAACTGCTTGGCAGGGCTGCGTGATGTGTGTGCTCCGATGGGTGTTTCCGCTTGACTTTTGGAGGAAGTCTCGTACGAAACGCTCGTTTTGCAGACTTTGACGTGAGTTTTTGAGGATGTCTCGTACGAAACGCTCGTTTTGGAGACTTGACGCGCAACCCTCTGCGGAGATCGTGCGTGTCGAGTGTGCGAAATGCAGGCCAGAGTGCGATTTGACCCATGCGCGCGCAACCCTCTGCGGAGATCGTGCGTGTCGAGTGCGC